AGGTCCTCGACGCGGAACATTCTACTGCGGTGTTTTCAGAGACACGGATCAACTTCGTGCTTTCAGATCGAGTTTAAGTTTATTTGATTCTCTGCAGTAAAGCTGATAAAGATGTCGAAGCAGCAGCAGCAGCAGACCATCAGCCCGGTGAAAAACTTCATCGCCGGAGGCTTGGGAGGAGTGTGCCTGGTGTCCGTGGGTCACCCTCTGGACACCGTCAAAGTCCGTCTCCAGACCCAGCCCAAACCTCTTCCAGGACGATCCCCTCTCTACGCAGGAACCTTCGACTGCTTCAGGAAAACCCTGGCTAGAGAGGGCATGCGGGGGCTCTACAAGGGGATGGCGGCCCCTGTCGACGGAGTGACACCGATGTTCGCCGTGTGCTTCTTCGGCTTCGGGCTCGGCAAAAAGCTGCAGCAGAAAAGCCCGGAAGACGCCCTGACCTATCCGCAGCTGTTCGCCCCCGGGATGCTCTCGGGTGAGTTCACCACCTCCATCATGCGCTCCTTCTTTCACCGGCTCGGTGTACGCACGGGGAAATGTCTTCGAGGAGAGCTTCAGCACACAGGAGCGCTACAAGGAAAAACAAAAACGATTTCCGAAAACAACAGGTACTGAAGAGCAGAACTCAACCAGATTAAGATTCCACAGTGTTTGTGCTTTCGGCCTGCTCTCTCACTTAATCTCCCTTTGATGAACAGATTGAAGAAGGCAAGCGGAAGAGAGAGAAGCAGAGGATTCGATGGAAGAGAGGCCACTCGCTGAAGAAAGAGAGTGCATGAGAAAGGAGAACGAGGAAGAACAGGAGAAGACGAGGCAGATAGAGAAAGAGGTTCGTTCTGGCGTCAGCAGAAAAGCAGAATTTGAACAGAACTCTATTAAACTTCGGGTGTTGCGTCTATAAAGTCATCCAAAGGTCTCTGAAGAGTAAATTTGAAGCTAAACGTTGGTGTAGCCAGTCGTCTTCATAACAGTGCATCACTGAGGGACGATCCAAGTTGTGCAGTTTCAGCTCCATGAACAACAGAACTACGTTTGCTTGAAACAGTCGCTACCGATGTGCAGGATTCAATCAAATTTACATTCTGTGCTCTTTGTTCTCTTTCAGCCGATGCCGTAGACGTATTTCGAAGGCCTCGACGAAAGGGATACGTCTTCAATCCCTCCTTCGGGGAAAAGCGGGTTACGCTAGTAACCTAGACATTCTTTTGGCCGATTCTTTTTCATGAGAGTAGAGGAGCGAGAGCAGATGAGGATGAAGGAGAAAAGGATATTTGCTGTTCAGACGAAGCCAGAGCAAGAGCCGGAGAAGGTGCAGCAAATCAAAGAGGTTTGTCCTTAAGTCAAGGTCGAATCTTGTCAACTCCAAACGTATTCGATCAAGTCAGGAGGGTCAAACTCAGTTCTTTAACGGCCACAACCTTAAACCGTTTAGATGAATCCTTAATCAAATAGAAAAACACGTTTAAAGTTGCTAGAAAGTGGACAATTTAAGTCTGTGTGTCGACTGAAGCCAGGTTCACAAACATTCCGAACACGTTTTGGTTAGTTCTTTCTTACCCGTGAGCCCATGATCTTTGAGTTGCTAGCCGGGTTAAAACTCTGTTGGTCTCCACCTGGTAAAAATCATCTGACAGTAGTTTCTCTTGGTTCTTTCTTCTACAGACATACTCTGTTCCTCCGCCTCCTTCTCCTCCAGTTCTTGCTTGCAGGAGCAAGCTGAAGAGTACAGAAAACTCCCATCCCAGCCTTTACTGCTCGACCACGGTTGGACCGTTTTGTGGATAAGGAAAGGAGAAGATGGAAAGAAAGGATGGAAAAACTAATAAAAGCAGCTTAAAAAAACAAATAAAACGATGGATTATTGCAGTGCTGTGTGACTGTTGTTAATGATTCTCATCATGCCTTTACACAGAAATACAGGATGGACCGACGCTATTACTCTCCTAGTCACTGGTGTCCAACTAAAGAAGCTCATCATGTTGGTTTTAAGAGTATGACAACTTCAAAGTTAGTCCATAAATATGTTGTTAGCTTTTATTTTATTCATTTCAAAAACATAGAATAGGGTTATCAAGGGTCGCTACTATATTACACATTTGTTAATTTTTGGAACATATTTTCAGCTCTTTGGCTACAGTGACTATTGGCTAAGAAAATGAATCCTAATTTTCCTCACTGTATCTTAACAACCTAATGCCTTTGGACTGAACTACGGTTGTAAATCCTTGTAATTATGAAAGACCTGTTACAAAGACAATTTGTCAATGGCATAATTATATAAAATTGTTTGAATCTCAATATCACGTCTGCCTTAATTGCTTCATTTTGCTCTCTGTGCCTTTTAACAAGGCTTCACACACCCTCTCTGTCCATCCATCCATCTTCTCCAGCTTATCTGGGGCCGGATTGTGGGGGCAGCAGTCTAAGTAGGGACACCAAGACTTCCCTCTTCTTGAAAAGAGGGTCTACCAGCCCAGTCTGCCAATCCAGAGTTACAATCCCCGACTGCCACGCGATACTGCAGACGAGTCAGCCATGACAGTCCCAAAGCATCCAAACACTTGAGGTACTAAGGATGGATCTTATCCAGCCGTGGTACCTTGCCTTCGAGGAGTTTACCAACCACTTCGGCTTGGGTGATGGACAAGTCCACCTCAAGTTCCTCAACCTAAATCTCCTCAAAAGAAGGACGTGACAGTGGGATTGAGGAGACCCTCAAAGTATTCCTTCCTCATCCCCAGTCAAGGTCAACAGCTCCCCACCTTCACTGTAAACCGTTTTGGTGGAGCACTGCTTCCCCCTCCTGTTTGAATTATCAGTCTTAAATTCTCCTCCAAGTTGTACATATTGGAAAACACATTTGTTCATTCTCAAAACATTGCCCGATTTGGGGTTTATTAGTAAAGTTTACAGAAGGAAAACTGTGGTGCTGAATTTTTTTAATGTTATTGGAAAGTTAGCACTACAGTGTTATTTTGATCTGGTTGCAAGAAACCTTTAAATAGTATGATATATCTTAGTGTTAAAATCCTACTTCCACGCTGTAGGAATGTGTTGCAGTCAGTCATTAGTCGATAAAGTCGAAAAGTTTTTTTTTTACAGAAATTTACTGTTTAAATTTTGAAGACAATAACCGTTTTTTAATGATCAAATACCTGTAAAATACAACAAACCCCTGTTAAAAAAAATTATTTTTCAGTGAAAATTACAGTGAAATGTATTAATTTCGTAGTATGAAAATATACAGTTAATTTACAAGGATTATTTGTAAATTATTATATTTCACTGAAAAAATTAATTCTAACACAACCGTTTACCGTTTTTATAAAAAAAGGTGTACAATCGTATAATTACAGCACAACAGTGCTCTGTCAGTGGCCTGTAAACACTTGCATATGTCTTTTTTATATGTATATTTCATATTGTGAGTCTCTTCTCTTCGTCCCTCATGCGGAAACGTGTTTCAAGGTTCTTTCAAGATTGTAGACTTTAAATAACATTGTAAACGAAATAAATTAAACCTAAAATACATTAACTAAAACAAAAAGTAGGTCTGTAGATATTACTGTAACCATCTGCAAAGATACCAATCAAATTACCCATTGAGATTTTCTTTTATAAACTCTGATCCTTCCAAATTTTCAGTGTTTTTTTAATTATATATTTTAAATAAACTATCGATTTAAATGATTCATATCCAAAAAATCAGTGAATGGAAACAAGATCAAGACATTTGCTTTAGATACAGTCTCAAACTGTAAACAATGTTTTGAATTACAAATTGTGTGACAAAAACAAACACCGCGCATTTTACTGTTATAAGACGTAAATTCTGATTGGACAAGACGGCTGTCCGTCAGCGCTTTACCCGTTCAGCCAACCAGTGGCCTATTTCCGTCTATTTGATTTTTAAATTTTGGCGCTCTAACTCACCGGACCAGCCCCTAAGCGCTAGACTGGCAGGCGTACTGGCGGAACTTTTAAGTCAAAGTTGTTGAAGCTAGGAGCTGAACGAACATGTCTTCTATTATTCGCACGGAGAAAGGTAAGTCTCAATTTATTTTTTATGCAGTTTGTTTTGTGGCGATACACGGAGAACTTTGCAACAATGTCAACGATGCATGCTAATGTTTAGCTAGCGCACGGTCAGTTAACGTGATTAGTTATATGTTTTTATTTCTGTAAATGCGTTATTGAAATCACGATATTGGTCCTCAACCAACGTTAACTTTAAATAAGTTCATATTTAATTACTAAGTTTATATTTTCATTTCATATTGCAGGATATGACGGATAATTTTGTTTATAACGAGCATACACGATTAATTATCATGGCAACACATAACCTTAAGAAGTATTTGTAATGTTTTAAGTTTTTTTTTCCCACGACAGGGTCCTCATTCAGAAAATTTCGTCCATAATCAAAGCAGAATTCATCATTATTCCCCGCCCTGGATCTTTAAGAAGCAAACAAAACCCTGCATGGTAAATGTAGTTTTTTTTCTCTCTCTCTCTCTCCTTGATCTTATAATGTAATGTTGAAATCCTAATAAAGTATAAAGAAGGATCATTTTGTCATATGGATTATTACCATTACAAATATGATCTGCTTTTCATTTATATATTTTCTCTTTGGCTTACATTTGTTTTCCTGATCAAGTCTGTCAGAAGATGTAATTACAACACAGTCATCGATGGAATGTTCCAGCACAATCCACGTTGCTGCAGGTAAACAGATTCCTACATGGATACCACATCATGTATGGTATCTACCCTTTTTTACAGATTTAAAATGATTTTATTTTCAAGTTTTTAGAGTGAACTGCATTAAATGTAAATATTTACTCCTGAATTTATAGTTTAAAGAAGTGCCATAGAGAAGTGGTCGGACTTATGATGTATAACAAAGGTGGCAATATAATGCCCAATAGAACCAAGGACCTGTCTCATGAAGAACATTTTATATTAAATGAAAGCATTTCTTTTTCAGGTCTCGTTTTCCCTGCTATTTGAACCCACAACGTTTGCGTGGTTAGCCCAATGCTCTACCAACTGAGCCACAGGAAAGATGGTAAATGAAGTGCAAAATTGTATACACTGACTTCACATTTCTCATTAGATTGTATAGAATGCTAGTGAGATCAAACTGGAGTTTGGAAGCATAATTTTTGGTGCTGCAAGGATATTTTACCTTAAACTCCTAGATGTTGTTCACCACACTGGCCTAAGGCTTTGCTCGGGAGGATTTAGGACCTCTCCCATAGAAAGGCTTTACATAGAAGCAAATGAACCTCCATTACACATCAGAAGGACTAAACTGGCCCTCCAATACGCTACCAAACTGAAAGCAGACCCCAAAATGTAAACAGTGTAAATGCACACTCTCGGTCAGACATCTGCTGATAGAATGCCCTGCTTCCTCATGTTTCCATGAGGAAACAACATCTGAAATCTGACAACCTAAAAGAAATCCTCTCAGTTCCTAGCAGTCTATTACATTTTATTTTCAAAACTGATTTACCATACTTGTTTTAATAGTTGAGGAAATATATATTTTAAAATAAGTTATAACCTTTTTAAACTAAATACAACATAAAGCCATGAAATAACCTTTGCTGTTGTCTTGGCTATAAACAAACAAAACTGTTATAGTATCTGTGTATTTTTAAAATGAAAAAGTTGCTTACCATTTGAAAACATTCCCAATTGATGAATTGGGCTAAAATAGAAGGCTCTGAGTGTAATAAAAGAGCCATTTGGGAGCCTAAAGAGCCGAATCTTTAAAAAAAGCAGAACTTCTCATCTCTACAATAAATTTGTACAAAAAAAATAACAAACAAACGTGTCTTCGGTTGCCTGACCTTTAATTTTTGTTTAAAAGAGAAAAATGTCAAATTTAATTAAAAAAAACTTTAATGTTTATTTCTCTTTGATTTCCATTTTGTAATGCCACACCTTCTGTATTGCTGTTATTTATTTCTATTAAGTAATTGTGTCATACAAACATTTTATTGTTGTTTTACAGGATAAAACGCTGCAAACTAACAAAAAACAATAATAATAATAATAAAAAAAATGTTTTCTTTAGGTAAAATATATATGTAATGTGATGAAGTGGCTTTAAAGTTAGGTTTTAAAGAAGTTTAATATACAATAATAGTTTTTATTCAATGTAAAGTTAGTGAACGCTGTGCAGTTTAGAACGTTGTTTAGAAGCCTAATGAAAGACGTCACCTCTGACGTCGAAAATAGAATCTCTGAAGGCTGGGCTGAGAGAAGCGCTGTTTTCAGAGACACGGATCAACTTCGTGCTTTCAGATCGAGTTTAGGTTTATTTGATTCTCTGCAGATAAGATAAGCTGATAAGAAGATGTCGAAGCAGCAGCAGCAGACCATCAGCCCGGTGAAAAACTTTATCGCCGGAGGCTTGGGAGGAGTGTGCCTGGTGTCCGTGGGTCACCCTCTGGACACAGTGAAAGTCCGTCTGCAGACCCAGCCCAAACCTCTTCCAGGTAGATTCTCTCTCTACGCAGGAACCTTCGACTGCTTCAGGAAAACCCTGGCTAGAGAGGGCATGCGGGGGCTCTACAAGGGAATGGCGGCCCCCGTCGTCTGAGTGACGCCGATGTTCGCCGTGTGCTTCTTCGGGTTCGGGCTCGGTAAAAAGCTGCAGCAGAAAAGCCCGGAAGACGCCCTGACGTATCCGCAGCTGTTCGCCGCCGGGATGCTCTCGGGTGTGTTCACCACCTCCATCATGGCTCCGGGAGAGAGAATCAAGTGCCTTCTGCAGATCAAGGCGGCCGCGGTAGGGCAGCCGAAGTACGCGGGGCCCATGGACTGCGTGAAGCAGCTGTACCGTCAGAACGGCATCCGCAGCCTCTACAAGGGCACCGCCCTGACCCTCATGAGGGATGTTCCGGCCAGCGGTATGTACTTCATGACGTACGAACGGCTGAAGAACGCTCTCACGCCGGAGGGGAAGAGCCCGTCGGAGCTGAGTGTTCCTAGCGTGCTGTTCGCCGCAGGAATGGCGAGGATATGCAACTGGGTCGTGGCCACCCCCCGGACGTCCTGAAGTCGCGCTTCCAGACTGCTCCCGAGGGACGCTACCCCAATGGCTTCCGGGACGTTCTTAGAGAGCTGATACGGAAGGAGGGTGTCAGGTCTCTCTAGAAAGGCTTCAGCGCCGTCATGCTGCGCGCTTTTCCCGCCAACGCGGCCTGTTTCCTCGGCTTTGAGCTGGGCATGAAGTTCCTCAACTGGATTGCCCCGAATCTCTGAGGAAGAAAGGGGTCTTTTTCTACAAAAAAAGAAAAGAAAACAAAAATAAAAAAAGTTTTTTTTACTTACAAGAGAGGTGATCCCTACAAACCTCTCAACATAAACGAGGTAAAGACGGCTTATATTTCGTAAAGTTTTAAACACATAACAATATATTGCACTTTTAAACCTGTTTCAATCATATTTTCTAGAATAGAGCTATGAGCTCTTTGTGATTGGAGCTGAAGATGAGCAAAGAAAGCAGAAGCTGATGGAAGAGCCGCATCACTGCTGAGGAAAAGTATTCAATACATAAAGTCAAACTAAATGATGAATCTGGTGCCTTCATTTGTCCGATCATTTAAAATGTAAGCGCTATCCTCATGTTTGCCCATAGACAAAGAAATGATCTCTATACACTTTAATATCCTCTGTTAATCCCCTTCCTCTTTGCCCTTGTCAGAGTCTGAGCGCTTCCAGCGCTCCTTCTTTCAACCGCTCGGTGTACGCACGGGGAAATGTCTTCGAGGAGAGCTTCAGCACACAGCAGCGCTACGAGGAAAAACAAAAACGATTTCCGAAAACAACAGGTACTGAAGAGCAGAACTCAACCAGATTAAGATTCCACAGTGTTTGTGCTTTCGGCCTGCCGTCTCACTTTATCTCTCTTTGATGAACAGATCGAAGAAGGCAAGCGGAAGAGAGAGAAGCAGAGGATTCGATGGAAGAGAGGCCACTCGCTGAAGAGAGAGAGTGCATGAGAAAGGAGTACGAGGAAGAGCAGGATAAGAAGAGGCAGATAGAGAAAGAGGTTCGTTCTGGCGTCAGCAGAAAAGCAGATTTTTTTATACCAAGTATTTTTATTGAGTTTTCAGTTCAATACAAACAAGACAAAGACATAACAAAGACATCAACCCCGCCCCCCCACCCCGCTATACCGGATCTGTACAAGATACACTCAGTGTTGCATCACACATATTACAGATGGGCGATCACATCGCCCAGTTCCTACATATTTAGCCTTGTGCACAAATTGCAGAAGAATACACAGGCATTGAAAACACATTTTAGGTCAACTTGTCAGCAGACAGTTTTTCTACGTGTGACACAAATGTTCAACAAGATATCATAGTATTTCGCTATAGATCCCTTTACCGTATATCTTATCTTTTCTAAATGAATATGACTCATGACTTCTCTCAGCCATTGAGCGCAAGTTGGTGGGCTTGGGTCCTTCCATTTCGACAGTATAAGTCTGCGAGCCAGAAGCGAGCTCAGAGCAATCATACATCTCCGATCCTTGTCCAAAGTGACAGTGCCTGGTACCACCCCAAATAGGGCAATCAATGGGCATGGGTGTATTGCAGCTTTGCAGATGTTGGAGAAAGATGCAAATATAGATGTCCAATAACTGTGAAGATTCGGGCAAGTCCAGAACATATGGGTGAGTGTGGCAGGAGTCTGCTTACAACGATCACAACCGGGGTCCAGGTCTTGTTTGAATTTGGCTAATTTATCTTTAGACCAGTGTAGACGATGTACAACCTTAAATTGAATAACTGCATGTCTTAGAGAGAGGGATGAGGAATGAATATTTTGTATAATTTTTTGCCACGAGAAATCTGAAATCACCAACCCCAATTCCACTTCCCATTTCCTTTTTGGGGAATCACATTCCACTTCTAAAATTGAATTAAAAAGCATGTATATTCTGCTCATGTTCCTTTCCGCATCTGTTTCGTAAGAGAGAAGTTCATCCATCAGCGTTCGAGGAGAGGGGATAAAGGAAAGCAGTCAGAAAGTGATTTAACAAAATGTCTTGCTTGTAAATATCTGAAAAAGTGTGATTTTGGAATATTATGCTTTTTCAATAACTGATCAAAAGATGCAAAATAACCATCTATATATAGATATGATGATGAATGTATTCCTTCCCTCTCCCAGACGCCGAAGGACTCATCAGTTACAGAAGGAGTAAACATATGATTCCCAGAAATTGGTGCTGTGAACAGTAGCCCAGTACATTTAAAATATCGTCTACATTGGTTCCAAATTTTTATCGTGTTGATCACAACTGGGTTGGAAGTATATGATGCAATTGGTTGCCCGAGGGGCAGATCAGAGCAGAAAAGTGCAGATGGAGAGCTACCGGTGATGGATCTCTTCTCTAAATGTACCCAACTAGCTCCATCGTTATCTTTTGTCATCCAATACAACACTGCTCGACCGTTGGCAGCCCAATAATAATACATAAAATTAGGAAGTGACATACCCCCCTGTTCACGCGGTAACTGTAAGATTTTTAAACTGATCCTTGGATGTTTTTTGTTCCATATAAAAGAGGATATCTGGCCATTGAGGTTTGAAAAAAAATATTTAGAAAGAAAAATAGGTAGACATTGAAAAAGGTAGAGAAATTTAGGTAGAATAGTCATTTTTACAGTATTGATTCTGCCTCCTAGTGTGAGGGGGAGGGACTCCCAGCGAGATATATCATTTTTAAGATTGGTTAGTAACGGTAAGTAATTGAGTTCAAGTTCGTTTAATTTATATAGCGCTTTTCACAACTGACATTGTCTCAAAGCAGCTTTACAGTAAACCAACAAGTTTAAACTCAACAAAGTGAAAAGAAATTAATTACTAAGTGGTGTATATGTCCCTGATGAGCAAGCCTGGGGCGACTGTGGCAAGGAAAACTCCCTTTTGGAAGAAACCTTGAGAGGAACCAGACTCAAGAGGGAAACCCATCCTCATTTGGGTAACAACAGCAGTGTGATAAACTATGGTATAAACATATGATCTGGTAG